CTGTTTACTTGTAAAGGCTACCAGACCCAGGCCCAGATACTCTTCACTAGAAGGAGTAGTGACTTTTGTCCAGATTACAATACACTCTATTAGTAGTCAATAACATTTTAATTTAGGGATTGAAACATGGTACTTAATCTGCCTGGTTACAAATTTATTACAAATAAATTATTGTTTTAAACCAGTAACCAAAATGGAACACAATTTGTTTACTAGTGAAGACACCTAGGATAACAACCTCCTATTTGTGGTATTTATCTTAAATAAACTGGAACAACCATTTGTGCAAATACCTAGGGCAAACAAAATAATGCAATATTAAAGGCTTAACTAATCCTAATTGAAGTTTTCCCACAAAATGTACTGTTTTAAACTAGGTCCCTTTCTTAACGTACTGCCCATTTGATTACATTTAATGAAATAAAAAGCAAATGACTAAAATTTTTGTCTCCAACCTAGGAACCCATTGGGCCATGTTTTGCTTGAGCATTATGGGTATAGAATGAAATATTTATAGTAGTGACTAAAATCTTCCATAAAAGCTCATCCAAAGTCTGAAAGCTTTACTATTCAGAAACACATTCATCTTCAGACATTTAAGATTTACTATTTCGCTTGTGATACTTTTTTTTTACATTTCATATTTATGTAGGAGATGGTGAAGGGGAGAAAAAGGGTGTAATTAGTTTTGCTTGTAAAACGTTCATCACAGTTGTAGTGCCAACCGAGCTATACAGCCTATTGGGGGTCTAATAGATTTCAGGGTATTATAGTTTGAGTAATAGAGGTGGGGGTTGTGGTGGAAATCAATAAATGACTACTACTTCTTTGCACAGACCCATATGGAAGTAATCAAGCGCAAGGGTGGCAGCTGGGGCCAATAACAGTCACCTGCAGTTGAGGGACATGGGGGTTTCAGATGGGTTTTTAATGCTAATTTCCTACAGAAACAATGAGCTAGAAAGAGCAGAGTAACAGACGAGGCCGGATGAAGAGAGACCAGCCAGAACAATGGCTGCACCTGGTGCTGGAAGCAGAGGGACAGAGCAGGCACGTGCCCGCCGGCAGCAGAGGGCACATCTGTCACCCTCAAAGTGGCCCATCCCCCAGCTCTTCAAGCAGAGCAAGTAATGCAAGGTCCCTGCACATTAACAGCTTGCCACACAGCAACAGGTTTGAGTTTTTAAGGCTGCTGCATTCTCTACATGCACTCTTCTCCCATGACTAAGAATTAGTTAAAGGAACAGGACTGGTTCTCTAGCTAAAGAAAGGCATTAAAAATATTCAAGAAACACATTTTAACTAAGTCTTTTAGTTACTGTGACTCTGACTTTGGGAGAGAGTACTAGAAAAGTCACATGGTAAGAGAATTCTTATTGCCTATTAATGCAGCAAGAATCATGCTTGTTATTTTCAAATATAAACTTTAGAGCCCACAATAAAAGCTGCTTTTATAGGTAAGAAAATTAGGATCTTTTAAAGGTGAAGGTTAAATTAGCTGATGGTTACCCAACCTAATACCAAAGACTACAGTGTCTTTTTACTATCTTTTTCTCCACCTGCCCTAACTACCACAGCCAAATGAAAATACACACTATTTACTTCAAAACTTCAGGTATGAGGAGCAACTGCAGATATAGGTACATATATATTCTATACAGAACTGCAACTAATGTTGCCAGAAATCTCTAACGAGTTGCTTAGGATTGAATAATAATGGATTTCCATTAGCAGTTGCTTTAAACAAAGCATAGAATTGCTTTAGCAGGTTTTGGCATGCTTTAGAAAGTAAATCCATGTACATTTCAAGTTTCCCAGTATAAATGTGGTGCCACCTAGATCTTAAAAGTTAAATGCTGTTTGGAAAGCCCATGAGCAAGAACATAAAAACCAATTATAGTAGGTTGTTTTTCTGCACCATTCAGTCACACTTAATTCCTGTATTTATTGACTTGAACTTGGAAGGAAAATTAAACCCAAACAGTCCACCACAGTAGAAAACTTAGACCTTCCTGGTATAAACCACAAGTTTAAAATGGGATGGGGCGGGGGTTAAAGGATATGTGGGTACATAAAGAAGTGGCTCAGAAGCAAACAATTATTTATGGGTTTGGAAAGAGCAACAACAACTAGGCACAACTAAAACACAGTAGATATTGCTGGGTAGGAGTGCTTTTCACACAGCGATTTAAGGCCCTGGGGTCTAATGGAAAGTGTCCCTGGCCATCACCCACTATGCTTCTTCTAAATACTAGGAATCCATGTCCTTCCTGTTCTTCTAAGTTTCTTTCAAATATAGTACCCAGGAAGGTGTCCTGAATCCCTTAGTGGCAGTAATTTCCAGAACTAACCCACTTTTGTGTATTGGTAGGTACATTTTTTAAAATCTCCTCTACAAAACATCTTTATCCCTTATTATCACAAATAGGTAATTAAAAAAAAGTGCGTAAAGTGAAATGTGCTGGAGATTTAGAAGACAATTCCAACTGAAGTTTAGTTACCAACTACCAACTAGGTTATCAAACTAGTTCAGGCAGACATTTCCATTCTACTATTCTTCCCTCAACTTGCTTCATGAAGTATATAAAATAATGCCTTTGTCTAGAATGACTAGATTATCTGTAAGACCCTTTTCAATCCCAATATGTTCCATAAATCATCCCTGGAGATTGAGGAGCACTTCTAGCATTAACTGATCTTAAAATAATCTTCAATGACCTGATTCAAGCAATCTTTCAGCTCCACCTGAATTCTTCCAGTTGTATATAAATTATGTCCACTAAAACTCAAAAGCATTCTTTCATGATGTTCCAAAGATGCCATTCAAATGTCAATATCTGGTGGTGGTAATTACAGAGGGACTATACCTGAGAGGAGAAAGCACACACTGCACAAAAAGGTAGAGTGATATCGACATCTCTCCCTCTCTCTATCTATAAAATTTTGTCACTTTCATTTCAAATGTACTACATTGTTGCATTATAATCTTTGGCATAACAATCCTTGGTTGGGTCATTCCTGTAAGTCAACTTAAGAAGTTTTTTCTTTTGATGATAATAAAGCTTCTAAGAATGTTTTCATAATCTTAGAAAGTACTATGATTTTCTCCAGTATTCAATTCAAAAATAAGTAACAAGCAACTACTTTCCTGAACTGTGCAGACATAGTAGGACTTTTAATCAACTCCCGTTATTTGCAGGCAGTTGTGGATATTCACATATTAAGTCATTTTTTTAATATATTTATTAAAACTAACACAAAAGTATTCCTAGTAATAACATACAGTAAGACACAATCCTTTCTTTAGGCATTTCACAGTTGACCCCAGCCTACATACTACATTAGTCAGCATTAAGTCCTTTCTCTGCACTCAATCCAAAGAGCGTGTCCCCTAGGTACTAGGAGCACTACCTGCTCACTGAAGGAGTATCCTGTAAATTCCATATAAACACTGCATCTTCTCAAATACTCAGTCAAGTCCTCAACTATGCTGAACACTGCACCTATCAAAACAGAAATTCAAAAAATTCTTACTAAATTATTTAGTCATTTGGCATAAAAGAACACATAAAAAGATCTCTTGAAATGTCCTCCCTGCCAAGAAATCTGATAGCAAAACTGAAGGAAGAAGCTGAATAGTACTATACTGTAACTGTAATATAATTACCCATTGGATATAGATGATGGCTGAAGAACTTGCAGCAACAGCAGTACTTTTTAAGTTCTTATTTGAGAATTAGCAGAATTCTCAAGGAAAAAAGAAGAATTTAAAGTGTTATCACAAAGCAGTATAATTCAGCATCTCATTTGTTCACTTTTTTGAAGTTCTTCTGTACTGACATAACAGGCTCATCTGCATCACAATACTTAAGAATACTCTCTATAGCATGTATAATCATAGTTAAGGCTTAACAAAGCTAGCATATCATATTTCTAACAGATAAGGATTCTGAGAGGAAGGTACAGAGAGTAAAAGGGTACCTGAAAACTAGAGCTATATTAAGACCCATTTGTAGTCTGAGAATTTGAAGTTAAAAATGCAAAAAAATTAGGACACCATAAACTAATGAACTAGAAACTTCTGGAACTAACTTGCATACCTTCAATGTGCCAGACAATTTTCTCCTTACAGTGACATGAGGTAGGAACTGTACAAAACAGAGATTCAGAAGTAGCTTGCTTGAGATCAGAGAAGTAATGAGTTAAAAAATGACCTATATAATGTGTGTATATGTATATGTGCGCACACACACACACACAGATGTATCCATATCCATACATCTATAGGAAGATCATATTCATGATGTATGGTATGGAGACTGGAAAAATATGAATACATATACAGAAATAGCAAAAAGCTAAATTATGTATAACAAAGATCACAAAACATAGTAGCTACATATTTACTGGTACCATAAGCTACTCTAAACTCAATAATTCAAGTCAAATTTATTGATGTTACTTATTTATTTTGTACATACAAAGTAAATAGAAAAAAATAACAGGAATAAAATGTAATTAAAATACATTAAAAGATACTGTTAGTTCTACTGAATATATCTTTTAGCTGTCATTTATCTGAGTACACTGAAATAAAGTCTGGCATCAGGAAAGAGTAGTCCATGAGCCATCTTTTTTTAGCATTGCCTATATGCAGTATGCATACCAAAGGAGAAAAAATTCCCCCAAAACATCACAGAAAGACTCAGTGTGAAATACCTTGTAGAAATATTTGTGGGTCTATATGCCTAGCCACAGAATTCATACATTATGTTTGATTAAAGTTTCCTTTATAAAATGCATGATATTCAAGTATAAAAGTAGTAATGAAAAATTAGACATGTGAACAAAATGAAATGTTAAAAAAAACCCTGAGTACCCAATTCTGCACTCATATTAAATATAAAAAATTTCAATCCCAATCTGAAATAATCAGAAAGCTTTGAAAGGCAAAGATTTGTCTACTTTAACCCCCAAAACTAAATTAAAATGTTACTTACCCCAAATGCCCAGATTACAACAATTCAGGTTCTTAATAAACCAAATATATTTCAAATAGATATTAAAGAGCTTGTCTTTTTCCTCCTAATCTTCAAAGCCCAGCCTGAGACCAGCCTTCTTCCTTCTTTCATTAGCTGGACATGTGTCAGCTCTCTCACATCTGCGATTTCTCACTGACTAGAGCTGCTTGTCCCATTCCAGGGAAACACAGATGGATCCCAGATGGGAAGGTCCTGCCAAACAGACCAGCTCTTCACCTTGCCAGAATCCCCAGATACAGTCAGTCTCTCTGTCTCTCTCTTTTTTCTACCTCCCTCCAGCTCCCTCTCCCTCCACTACCCTTCCAACCCTCCCTGTTACCAGGGCTCTTTGCCAGCTGATGTCACTAAGTACACACCTCCCAGTGGCTCCTGGCCAATCTGACATTAACTTGTTAAGTACGTGTAATTTGTTTATGGCTGACAATAACAGCAGCAAGAATACTGTGCAAAACCTATCTGTGCAAGTCCCTAGTGGAATAACATGTAGAGATATAGAGACTCACATTTCTTGGAACATTAAAATGTTTAACAATTACTACTTAAAGTCCTGCATATTATCTGGTTTCTGCTATTGTTTAACAGCTTCTGCTTTTTGAGCCAATTTTTAAATCCTACATATGACAAATTACTCTTTAAAATGAATTATTAAAAATCTGCTTTGAACATATAATTGGATGAAAAATGTAAAGTTGCAAATTAATTTGGAAGAATAGAAACAGAAATGTATGTAAATGAGTCAACCAGGCTGCCTCTCAGATCCAGACTTGGTAGCACTGCAAAACTGGCACGTGATTAAAATAAGACAATGCAGGCAACATGGTTCTGATGCTATAAAAGATTATAAATGAAAAATGGGGACACAAGGCAAAAACTATTTAAAAATAAAGCAAATATGAATGTGATAAACAGTAGAATGTTTTACATTAAAGGAAGTGCTGTTTCACAAAGAAGAATAAAAGTAAAAATCATTTCAGAATATATAAACAAAGAGAACCCAGAGAAGACTGAACTGCTCAAGGTCAGAGTTTAATCGCATATACTCCCCCAAATATCTGGCATATAATAGCTGCTCAGACAACTTCTGCTAAATGAAACTTATTGAAAACTGACACTGTACGCTGTTATACAAGATGTTATCACTGGGGTAAACTGGGTAGGTAAAGGGTCCACTGGACCAGCCTGTATTTGTTTTCCTTCTTGTTTGCTTGTAACCTCCAGTGAAGGAAGTTCCTATATCGTAAAATAATAACTTTACAAACGAGGAGGAGAGTGGAGGGGATTGTATGTTTCCTGGGTCACCTAATGAGGACAGATATCCTGCACTAAAATTTACATGAATAGCTTAGGAAAAAAAAAGATCCTCCATATACATATTAAATAGATGTGGTTATAATTCTTTAACTCTCAATTTTCTATCATACCTGTAATATCTGGAATCTGTAAATAATTTTTTGCCTCATGGCAAATTTTGGCAAATAGAAAGGAAAATTATTTCTGTTAAGGGCAACTTACTAAGTTTCAGTTGTTCATCCCAGTGGTGGTGATATTAATAACAGCAGCAGCAGGCTAAGCGCTCAATAGGTGAAAAGACTGTTCTAACTGCTTAAATCTTCATAAAAGCCCTGTGTTATAGGGACTCCATTTCAACATGGTAGGTAAATAAAGTAAGACATGCAACAGTTAAGTAACTTTGTCATTTCACCCACCCAGTATTGCTACCAGGTAGCCTGGATCCACAGCCAGAGCAATATACGCAATTATTGTCTAGGAGGAAAATGAATCAAAAGATGCAACTGGATTTCTGACTCAGGCCAAAGCAAAGCTATCATGTCATGAAAGCACCCAAGTGGCCTTAAGAAGAGATCCAGATGAGTGAGGAACTGAGATCTCTGGCCAATGACAACATCAGCTTTCTCCATACCAAACCACTATCATCCAGCTAAGTCACTTTGCAGTTCTAACCCGTAAGAACTGCACAAAAGGGTAACTATTACCTAAAAAAGAGGACAATGGTTCTTTTAATCTTAGCACTTGCATTATAGAACTTAACCACCATTTCCCACTAAAAGGAAAAGCAGGGTTACTAAAAAAAAAAAAAAAATGTTGGCTCCAGATATGGTAGGAGGTGGAGAGGAGCAGGAAATATACAAAATTTGTCATATCACTAAACAAGTAATTTTAAAAAAGAAAAAGACACCTGTTAGAAATTTTCAATCTCAGTTCTTACTCTAGAGCTTCAAAAAAAAAGTAACTAAACTATCAGCAAACATTACTTATAGACTTGTGTCCAAGAGACTAAGAAGCCAACTTGAAGACATTCCTGCTAAGATGGGATAATTTGAGCATCAATTAAAAATAATAACTCCAATAGAATAAAACAAAGGAAAATATTTAAATACATTAACTGTAGAATGGTAATTTAAAAGCTGGTCTTTTTGAGGATACTAGGAATCAGTTCATTATTCTGACACTAGTGAATCAAGCATTTTACCTGTATTCCTATATGAACCTCTAGGTAATAAATTGTTGGTGAAAATTAATCCTTATCGAAGCAAACTGAAAAAAAGCAAAAATGAAAAAATTTTATACTTTCAATATCATTTTACAAATCCAAAATGTAGTCTAGAGAATGATCATCAATTATCATTGATATTAAATGAATACTATATGCACATTAATGTCCTTCCTAATAAAACTATACATGGGTTTATAGTTTGTTGATTTTCATTTTTACTTTGTTACAATTACCATTTTTTTCCTTCTGATCCCTTACACTCCTGCGATGAGTGAAACCATCCGGTATTTTTCTTTTTCTGGCTTATAACGAAAATCAACAAACAACTATAAACCAGAGACATTTAACTGGGGTGGGATGAGCACATGGGACTATAGTGATGGCACACGGGTGAATTGGTGGCGCAAAATCCACAGGGATTACAACTACGATGAAAAACTATATAAAATGAAAAATGATGAAAAAAAAAAAAAACAACAAAAACCCTATTCTTGCCCCAGGGCTATAAATACTGGATGACTGGATTAAATAATCTCAAAAAAGAAAGGAAAAGAAACATACCACCACCAATGAAGCATTCTTGACTAAATTCCTGTATCTCAGGATAATGTAAAATAATATACTTGTCAAGTTATAAGAATATATAGCTTTTATTATCTCTCAGGAGACTTTATATGGATAATACAACTGAATGTCCATATTCCTATAAAATTTCAAGCCAGGTATTTATTGAACTCTATTTTAATTTTAAAAACAAGTAAGGTTGGTGTCACTGATGTGCCAAAGGTTATAACATGAACCAGGAGAAACTTCTGTCTCCTGCTGGCCTAATCTCTCAGAACAAAACTAAAACAGTAGCTATCTAGGTAAATGTCATCTGTAGAAATGTGATGCACTCGGTCCATTATATAGAAGTGTGTGTGTGTGTATCCCTAACATTTAAAAAATAAGTTTAACATTTAAGAAATAATGCAAAATTTATTCACTTTAAATGTACAATTCAATAATTTTTAGAGTAAATTTATAGAGTTGTATGTACAACTATTACATTTTCACTTCTGGACATTCCATCACCCCAAAAGATCCAGTATCTCCATTTATAGGAAATTCCATTTATATCCACAGTCCCAGGAAACTACTAGTCTTCACCCTGTCTCTATCAGTTTGCCATTCCTGTTCATATAATATATTGTCTTTTGTGTCTGACTTCTTTAGCTTAGGGTAAGATTTCTAAGGTTCATTTGTATTATGGTATCAGTATGACTTCCTTTTAATTGTTGAGTAGTATTCTACTGATATAGATAGACCCACATTGTGTTTATTCACCAGCAGATGGACAGTTGGATTGTTTCCAATTTTTGATTACTGAGTAATGCTACTAGAACAGTACAAGTTTAAAATGAATGCTTTTAACAATTCTGTTCTGTTTTATGTGCTTTTTGGGGGAGAAGATTTGCCAAGCTCCTTATTCCACCTTAGTGAATTTCTTTTAAATGGTAATTTCTCTAGATCATTTTAAGAAGATTTATACTTTTATTATAGCTTGTCTGATTTCGATGTCAAAATTAGAAGATTATAAAAACATATCTGTATTTTCTTCTTCTTCATTAAAAAAAAAAAAAAAGAACTGGTGTTCAGTTCAGAGGTGTAGGGGCAGTGAGAGGATTCACCATGGTCAGAGTGGGGTGCAGAACAGGCTGACTGATGAAGTACACTGCTGAGGAGAGCAGCGGGTGAGACAGGAGAGGTCTGCTGCACCATGTGGTTTACCTCCAGGGCTGGGGATGGAACTTCCACTGAAGTGGCTGTGGCTAGCTTGTCGTGCTGCGCCTTAACCCGATGCACCACCAGGGAGGGCCTATATTTTCTTCTATTAATCTCACAGTTTATTTTCTTTTTCAGTTCATTCCTAAGTCCAAGAGAATTTACTTTGAATATACAGAAAATAGGAGATTGAAAAGCCTAAAATATAAGTTCTATACCTACTGCTAAAACTTATCTATTACTCAGAAAAAATTAAAGTCTGAAAACCTTAAAAGTGAACCTACAGATGAATATTAAAAATCACAAGATGGCCACTTGTAATAAGGGAGATGCAAATTAAAACCACAATGAGGTACCACCTCACCCCATTGAGAATGGCACATCTTCAAACAACTAGCAACAACAAATGTTGGCGAGGATGTGGAGAAAAAGGAACTCTCCTGCACTGCTGGAGAGAATGCAAACTAGTACAACCACTATGGAAAACTGTTTGGAGGTTCCTCAAACTGCTAAACATGGAGCTTCCCTATGACCCAGAAATCCCACTCCTAGGTATCTACCCAAAAGACACAAAAACACTATTCAAAAAGTTACCTGCACCCCCATGTTTATTGCTGCTTTATTCACAATTGGAAAGACATGGAAACAGTCCAAATGCCCAAAAATGGATGACTAGATTAAAAAGATGTGGTTCATATACACAATGGAATATGAACAGGCGAGAAAATAATGATAATGATGAACAGCTATATACCAGAGATATTTTGTGGGGGTGGAGTGGGGAATGGGATAAAAAACAGTGGGGGGAGGGAAATGCACTGGACTATGGTGATGGCACACAGGTGATTTGGTGATGGGAAGCCCAAGGGGATTACAACTGAGATGGAAAAATGCACAAAATTATGTAAAAATAAACTATTATATACATATATATAAAAAAGGGAAATATTTCATAAATAAAAAAATCACAAGACGGCACATTCATAACCAGAACAACCTAGAGATACTACTACTTTCCTTGCAAA